CGTGGACACAGGTGTACATTTGGCTGGTAACAGGTGCTGTCCAGCTGCTGCAGTTGGCGACAGGCAACATCACTGAGCAAGCTACTGCCTTCATACACAGCGTATGTGATCCAAACTATGAACTGCAATTGTCTTAACCTCTCCATGTCGACCGCCAGCACACTAACTGGTACTGAACATAGGCTGAATGATACATGATACACTAAAAACTCAAAATTTGATAGTTGAAATATGGAAACACATATGAGCTATATAACTCATTACAGGCTTGTTAAAAATGTTCGATACTGTGAATATCGATCCTCGCAGTCGTGGTACTATGACAACAATTAACCATTTGGTCGCCTCTCACTCTGGGACAAATTTTATACTGGAATCTCCAAGGGGGCGATGACTGCAATTAGTCAAAGTATATTTATTCACTTTTAATGGTTTTAATATTTTGGTTAGGACAAAACGTTAACGGCAGAGAAACTTCTGTCTCAATTATCTGTCAAAACAGATTCCATTGGGTGTAGAAGACAAAAGAGAGGTGAAATTTGAATGGTCAAAAATCGTATGTAAGAATTAAAAATTATGTTTTTTGATGTTTTTTGTCGCAACAAAACTAATCACCATGAAATGAATATATTCTAAAAGGCGAAAATTAAGTAGAATGGGGTAAAAAATAATACATATTGTGGGTCACAACATTCATCATCATTCATCAATGCATAAGGGGTCTGCATGTGGATCACAACATTCATCATCATTCACCAATGCATAAGGGGTCTGCATGTGGATCACAACATTCATCATCATTCATCAATGCATAAGGGGTCTGCATGTGGATCACAACATTCATCATCATTCATCAATGCATAAGGGGTCTGCATGTGGATCACAACATTCATCACCATTCATCAATGCTTAAGGGGTCTGCATGTGGATCACCACATTCATCATCATTCATCAATGCATAAGGGGTCTGCATGTGGATCACAACATTCATCATCATTCATCAATGCATAAGGGGTCTGCATGTGGATCACAACATTCATCACCATTCATCAATGCTTAAGGGGTCTGCATGTGGATCACAACATTCATCATCATTCATCAATGCTTAAGGGGTCTGCATGTGGATCACAACATTCATCATCATTCATCAATGCATAAGGGGTCTGCATGTGGATCACAACATTCATCATCATTCATCAATGCATAAGGGGTCTGCATGTGGATCACAACACTCATCATCATTCATCAATGCATAAGGGGTCTGCATGTGGATCACAACATTCATCATCATTCATCAATGCATAAGGGGTCTGCATGTGGATCACAACATTCATCATCATTCATCAATGCATAAGGGGTCTGCATGTGGATCACAACATTCATCATCATTCATCAATGCATAAGGGTCAACAGTAACATTTCACGTTAATTCGCACAACGGGGAGAAGGGGTCATTGGTATGCTGTACCTGGGAGCCAGGCACGACAGGGTAACTGATCACTTGAGTTACACATCTGATATGTGATATGAAGGAATCCTTTTCAGAGCCGTTTTTTATAGATAAGAAGTTGAAATTTTAAGATACATACCAAGTTGAATTTCAAGATAATATTAAGTTGAAATATTAAGGTTTGAATTTGAATTTTCAACTTAGCATGTTGAAATTTCAACATACCCATTTGAAAACATATACAAAACTTCAAAAACTAGTGGCCCTAAAAGGCTTCCGTATTATATAGCTCAAGTGGAGGCGTTAAACAACGAACAAAACAATTGTCTCAAACAGTTCATAAATCTACTCATTACAGGACCTGAACAGTAATTAACAGAAATTCAACACCAGGACTGATTCGTTTTGTGAAAATCTGTGTTATTTATTTACATTAAGCGAATGTCATACCACCAAAAAAGCATCTTGTTTCCAACCAGGTATGAATAGATATAAATTATTTACATCAATGTGAGTGTTTAAATGTTAAGTAGATGTCAGTTACAGACTGCTGATCACATTGTTCGGTTTGTAAGAAGGAAGATAACATGCCAAGCAATAAAACCCTCTTTATCTTTTATCGAAAGTGAATTATAGAGAGTTTGGTTTGTAAACTTACACCACTAGTTATATCTATATAATTAATACATAATAATTGGAAAATGTTTTGATGCGCATGGATTATTATTATATGTGTAAACCACTATATTAAATGTATATTGAAGTATCTGTGTATTTATTACTTGCCCGTGAAGAGATCACCCGTTTAATAAACATACAGCTTTATTACACATTGTGTAATATCAAAACGCGTGCTTATGTACTCTCGGAACACGTTTCACGAACAAATATTGAAAGCTCTCAACATCCCTTGGCGTATTCAACGACATTGTGTGTGGAGATGATACATCACTGGGAGGAGCTTATGCACGCTCGATTACCCCAGCAACCTTGTTGCTAGGCTGATGTCACATGGCATTGTTTCGCCGATGGATCTTGCAACAAAATTCAACAAATTACGTCATCGGGTATTGTGACGTCATTGTAAACTTTGAGCTGCAAAGCCCCGTTCCACAAGGCGATCGTACTCTAGCGCAACGAGAGTCTTTAGTCTAAGTTAAATGGGAGACACCGCCCCAATTTGCTCGCTAGGTGGCGCAAATGTACTAGTGGTTATAAGTCACAACCGGAAGTCAGCTTTCAAAGTGGCTCGTATCGAAGATTCACTCGACCGTTATCAGCTATGCCAAGATACTGCTCTGTTCCGGGTTGTAAAAATAAGATTGGAGGACATAAATACCCTTCAGACCCCGACCTGCAACAAAAGTGGCGCGTGGCGGTAAGAAGAGTTGATGTTCCAACAAAGAATCTGTGGAAGCCAGGGACAGGCGACGTAGTCTGTAGGGCTCACTTCACTGATGATGATTTCGTGGATACACTATTAGGTTCGTAAAAACAGTATTATTTTGTCTGTTGAGAATGATAAATAATTATTTGTGCATGGTTTTCTTACTGTTTTTTTTTGTATGTTGGCAAAGAAAAGCGCGAAAAGCAGAATATATTAGCCTATAACAAATATCGAATAGCCAATATCCTCATGATACTGGTAACTTGGCCCTGTTTATCAGCTGTTCATTCACAGACCCAAACATTAATGAATAGGCCTAAACATTTGATTGTATATTTATTTATGTATGTTATAATGTAAACAATCTTTCTTTTATTAACTATAACAACGAAGTAAATTTATTCATAGACAAAAATATACATGTCAAAATGTGATTTATTAATATTGAATAGCCAATATCCTCATGCTACTGTTCAACAGCTGTTCATTCACAGACCCATTACCTTATTAAATATGATTAAGTTTCTGCTTGCATAAAGCAATGTAAAGATATTTCTATAATCAGAGCTCCAGATAACTTTTTTTGAGCAAATGAGTTTTTACTCTAGGGTTTCTATTTTAAATGGGTTATAAGTATAACATTTTTCATAGGGTAACCAATCTTATTTCAATCATCCATTCATGACTCTATTCGGATTTTCCCAAAATTAGTGAACATTTATCATTAGATGTATATAACTGTACTTAATATATAGGCTTGACTCAGATAGTAAATTAGCTCATAATTGTGTTTCGGAAATTAGCCCTGTTTTACGATTGCTGAAAAAGCTACATTGGGTATTAACGCGTGCTGTTTTCATACATTTGAGTTTTTCCTTAAATGCATGCGTTTTTGTACACAAGATAATCAGTGTGTAATTGGGTTTTTAATATTTTACACAAATGTGCAGCTTATCTGTAGCTCTGTATAGCGTACACACACATTTTGATAATGAATATCATAAAAAAACAACCATGAATGTGTCTTCAACTTGTGTATTGTTGATTTATGCCATGTTTGCAAGTGAATTTAGATATTATTATTTTGGTTGATTCCTTGTTAATGTTTGTTCTTGTTGCTTTGTGTTAAATTCCTGTTTTTAAGGAGCCATACAAACGATGACACGCCTGAAGCTTCCGACAGAAGAATTACTCAACGAGGCCTGGGAAACTCAGTTTTGTACAATTTTCTATTATTGGTAAACTCTATAAGTAAATCACTAGAGGAATTTGAGGTCGTTCGACATGTAACATTACTTCATTGTTGTTATATTTTCGCCTGCATTTTCATATAATTAATAAGACTTATAAAAAATTAAAAGCTACTTGCTTATCTTCTTAATTCTTAAGAGGAAAATCACCTCAATATGCATTTGTTTTCATTTCAATAAATTGAAACCTTTCATTTTTCTGTAACTTACGTTAAGTGTATTTAACATAAGGTGAACGAAGTCGTCTCCGGGCAGCTGCGGTTCCCTCCATCTTCCCACATACATCATGCACCAGTACATCAGCACTACCAATGTGTCGTCGGAGGTGGAAATCGGTATTGGAGAGGATTGTGCTATCACAAGCCCAAGTAGCTTGAATGAGCCTCTTGAAACATGTCAAAGTGACTCTCAGTCTACTCAGTGCAGTTTGTTAGGAAGTTGTTCCATAGAAACCTACATAAATAATCCCAAAGCTGTTTTGTACTTTGCTGGTTTCCAAGATTATGACCATTTCATGTTTTTCTTTCACTCGCTTGGTCCAGCAGTTTTTGAACTGAACTATCAATGTGAACTCTTGCACCCAAAAGAACAACTGTTTTTGACTCTAATGAAATTAAGACAGGCCAAGGATGACACTGAATTAAGTTTCTTGTTTGGCATATCATCATCCACTGTTTCCCAAATTGTAATAACATGGATCAATTTCTTATATTTTCAACTGAAGGAACTACAGATATGGCCATCAAGAGCAACTGTTGATGATCACATGCCAACAGATTTCGGTAAGAAGCCATCTCATGTTGATGCTCAGAGCATGACATGGTCCAGCTATAAACATCAAAACACATTGAAAACCATGATTGGTTGCACACCCAGGGGGGGGGGGGGGGGGGGGGGGGGGCAGTCTCATCTATTAGTTAATCTTTTTGGGGGTCTGCAAGTGACAGACAGATCATAGAACAGTCTCCTTTACTTAACCCATCACATGGTATGTTTGAAAAACAGGATAGCATTATGGCTGACAGGGGCATTATGGTTCAAGGCTTATTTGCAGCCCAAGATGTTCAAGTAAACACCCCAACTATGTTAAAAGGCAAGTCACAGTTAGAACCAGAAGATGTTGTTAAGGATAGAAGAATTGCTTCTAAAAGAATCCATGTTGAACGTATAATTTGTCTGAGTAAAACTTTCAAAATTCTGAAAAAAACATCTCCCACCAAGTAAAGTAGTACTTGGATCGCGGATTGTTTATGTTTGTTTTGCTATTTCAAATTTCAGAAATTCCATTGTAAATGAATTTGCTTGAAGCATCTCTTCTTTGTGATATCTGTGACTGAAATTTGTAGTAGAAGTCGAATTTTATTCAGTAGTGTGAGTGATTGAGAATTGTTTTACACCGCTTTTAGCAATATTCCAGCAATATCACGGCGGAGGACACCAGAAATGAGCTTCACCCATGTTACCCATGTCGGGAATTGAACCCGGGTCTTCGGCGTGACGAGCAAACACTTTAGCCATAAGGCCAACCCACTGCCTTATACAGTAGTAATATTATCGGTATGGTCACATGGCCTATAGTACAGTGTTTCGTAATAATAAGTGGTCATGTGAGAGCTCGTAATTTGAAAACATGTTTCATATACAGAGCAACAGATTTAAGGGGATGTACAGTTCTTGTATTTAGCTTATTGACCATTGAATGAGTGTTGTTAAAGCTATGAAAAGGTAATTTTAATCACAGAGTAGCTTGGGCATATGAACCTAATATGATACTCATCTTCAACAAAATCTAAATGACAGTAGACCCGGGAAGATTCCGGGTTAGAATCGGACTTCAGCAACCCATACTGCCGTAAAAGGCGACTAACGGGATCGGGTGGTCAGGCTCGCTCACTTGGTTGATGCATGTCATCTATCCCAATTGCGTGGATTGATGCTCATGATGTCAATCACTGGATTGTCTGATCCAGACTCGATGATTTACAGACCGCTGTCATATAGCTGGAATATTGCTGATTGCGGCGTAAAACAACAAACAAACCAACCAACTAAATGACAATATGTATATAAAATATTAAAGTTACCTACATTTTCACATTTATGGAGCTGAACTGAATTCATTAAGGCTTTAAAATGTGACTTGTGGTGTTGAAAATTCAATTTGTAAGGTAAAGTCTAACAATACCTAATATGATGTACATAATCAATGCTATTGACAATCACTTGTGTGATATATATAGTCCTACATTGTCTGAAAATTACTTCATTATTTGCACCAACATTTTTCAAAGGTTGAATCATTTCAATCAAACATATGTCATTTTCAGTCAAAGAGACCGTTTTTAACAGCGATGGGCTCACAATATTTCAGTTATTTGAGGCTTATCCCACTGAAAACATTCATACAAGGCTAACCTTACATTTGTACTGGCTTCTGGCTTTCAACTGAGTGATAAAATCTCCCCACGACCCAAAAAGTGTATGGAGTGTAACTTGTGTAACACACGCATGTCATATTAAAATGTGAATCTCTCATGTGTCAAAGAAATTGCTTCTTTTCATTAGTTATTTATGCATATGGTAAGCTTTGAAATGAAAGATAAAGGCGACATGCTGTCATTTTGTTTGGTGGTATTACCATATTTAGTCAAACAATTGATTGGCAAACCAAAACCACAATATTTTAACTTTGCCAATGACTTGTAATAGTCTCAAACCACAGCAGATTATTATTTCTAACTCTGTATACTGTAGTTACCCCTGAGCACAATGTACCGCTCCACAATGTACGATGCTCTTACAATGTGTATGTACATTGTGGTAACAGGTTCTAAACCTGTTCAGTGAAATCTGGAGGAAACCCAAAATCTTTCTCTTGAGTGTCTGAATAAACATGTGTGTATATATGAAACATTAGTTGAGTACTGTGTATATTCTTCAAATGGAATCTTCATGAATCTTCAACCTACACTAAACTGTCTTAATGGTAGCTAAATCATATTGGACATGTGTATGATTTACAATTCAAATTGCTTATTCATTGCAAATATAGATCAAGGCACAGAATATGCATGATGTATGCACAATATAATAATTTGTATTAATATAACATTTGATGTTGACATGAGCATGTGAAACAAATTGATATTTGGAAAATATGTGAACTTATTTGGATATTCTTTTTCTTAAGTGATACAGAGTTTACTACACCCAAGCATAAAATGATACTTTAGTTATAAAGACTGACGAACAGTCACCATTTGTCACAATAAGTTTCCAAAATGTTGATTTGACGCTTGAGACCAATTACCGAATAAGAGAAAAGACCATCATCAACAAAAAGTCCAAGGAATATTTCTATTAGATCTGGATATAACTGTATGACATTTTTAGATTTTGAGTTAATTTCAGGAATAAGACAACCTGATTGTGCTTAAAACACAAACACAAACTCCCAATGGGAATCAAACATACGGTTATTACCATTGGTACATACCGGTACACAAGCTTGGACTCATAAATGCCTTAATGATGTATCCAAGGGAAAAAACATGATTTACAATGTAGAAGCAATGTATGGTCTTAGATGTTTGGTATAGAACAGTTCAAGTTTTGGAATTAATGAGTACTGACAGAAATCTTTATCAACACTGACCTTTTCTACAAACATGTCACAGAATGTGTAAACAACAAAATAGCAAAATTGACGCTTTGCTAAGTACATCTGTCCCTGTACCTGGCAGTAGTAGTGACTGCTGGGATTTAAACAAATCTGATTGTTTACATTGTAATGAAGATATGGAAAATGTTTACCAGGTTTAATGTGATCATTTCTTCCAGCATATGGATATTTCACCTCAACCAAGATATCAGCATCAATAATGGCATCTGGCGTAGCACCCAGATAGGGTTCAGAACAGGAAAAAAATAGACCTGCCTTTTTTGTTTTGATATTGTACATGGATTCAAATTTTGAAAGTGCTCCTTTTTCATACTGCTTTCCATGAATTACAGGCTTACATGATAAAATTTTTGTGGACACAATTGATTTACATAACTTCTCCTTATTTCTTCGGTTGGTCATTTTGGTCACTTCACCAAACCTTGAGGCTGTGAGGCGCCACTTTCTTTCTGTGTGCCACACTGGGCTCCGGGACTGGTCTTGCGTTGCTGCCTCAATATCTTTCGCAGATTCCTCAGTTACCTGGAAAGAAAAACAAAAGTCAAGACATAAAAGAGATGTCCCAAACAATATTTTTTCACATAGTTTGTTTTACATGACAGTAATCTGAAAAATGCCTAATATACAAGTCTATATTTCTTTTACAAGGGAACTAATCTGCTTGATCATGATTAGGCATTTTCAAACTTAGTTAATTGCATTTTACAAATTACTCACAACCCCAAACATTCAGATGTTGCTGTTTCCTCACAAGCTATGATTTTAACTGTGTATTACAAAGATCAAATCTGAAAAACTTTAGGTTTTAAAGATTTTTTACATGTATTATACAACAGAATTTCCAGTGTTGTGTACCTTCAGTGCCATGTCAACCATGTACTCTGTAAATGGCTGTTTAAGGTAGTGATGGTCCTCAGCAGCTGTCTGGACATCAGCTTTTGGGTGAACATATCTAAGGGCGACATTATGAGATGACTTTGAGCAGTAGTTTGTCATCATGTTGCGCACATGATCATTGTAGCCACTCATGTGTCGGCAGACGGCAGTTCTGCAGCTGTTACGGGTGATCCTGAATACAATATTGTGATACTACATTGCCATAATAATCCTGTTCAAAACAACACTTATACAAATATTTAAAAACTTTTTCCACTCCAATATCCAACACATAATATTTAGTCATATACAGTTTCTCTTTTATATACAAAATCATAAACCATCATAACATGTCTAAGGCATTTAGAAGTGATGCACATAAGGAAGAGAATATATGGATGTCAACTTCTATATAATGAGGAAACACCCTTAACCTCATAATATAGAAGTTGACATCCATACATTCTCTTTCTCATCATAACATTGTAGTTGAGGCCTGGGTATGATATTTCCTTGGCTGTAATATGACCTACTTTTGTACGATTTTTTGGGATTGTGGAACAACTGCAAGTTTTCGGTACAGCTCTTTCCAACTTGCACACTGCCAGTTGAGATGAAATGCTCCAACATCAACAGCACCGCAGCGATGTGCTTACAGGTTGAATGTGGTCCTTTCCCTGCAGGACACTCGCAGTGGGAGTTGACTGGCTCCCCGGTCTTCTCTACCTTCACCTTGTAATTGTATGTGACCTAGGATAGAGTGAGTGGGTATGTATGGTTATGCACCACTTTTAGCAATATTCCAGCTCTTTCACAGCTAGAGACACCAGAAATGGGCTTCACACATTGAACCCTTTTAGGGAATTGAACCTGGCCTTCAGCAAGATGAGTAAACACTTGGACCACTAGGCTACCCACATTAACCCAAGCATAGAAGTCATGCATAAAATGTGATGTATGTGCAATTTAATTTCCCATTAATAAATTCACTTTCAATCAGTTTTATGTCAAGAATGTATTTCGGATTAGCTTCATCTTTGAGTACAAATTTCATTAAATTTAAAAAGGTTTTATTTTTTATTTTTATTTTATGGTGTGTAAATATTTTACCTTGTTTTTCATAGATGCACTGACGATGCCACTTAAGTATACATCAGTAGATGCACGTATGTGAACACTGCATGCCAGCACCCTGTCCCCCTCAAACATCAGATAACCTTTCTCTATGGCCTTGATATCATGTGCAGCTTGGTTGGCTCCTGCCATACGGTAGATGAAGTAACCCTCAATGGTTTCTTTGGAAATGGGAGGCAGCAGTTGACGATGGGAAGGCATCAGCTGTTGAAATCCTGACACTGGCCATGATGTATCATCTGGACGTGGGATGGAGACAGATGGCCCAACAAAATCATCATTTCTGTCATAAGATTCAAGTCTGAAATGAAAATTAAATACATTTTAACTTGTGCAACTACTATTTCAGATTTGCATAATATTATAGGAAAATAATTCATATCATTATCACTATGACTAATATAGCTCATAAATGACATGCATCATGAATAAGCAATGAAACCTGTATGATTAAACTGTGTTTGATAATCTCATGCCTATATAGCCAGAAGACAAATTATTACACATTTCCTGTTTTATAAAATACCAGTATAAATATATGGTAATTGTTAATGTGACATAGAGTCGCCAAGTTTCAATAATCATTTCATGGACAGAGAAATGTCAGTAAGCACTGCACTGTACACCTATCATAAGTCATTCAGAATTTTGGTGCCCATATCCTGACGAAAAGGAAGAGTAAAATATAACACTTTAATTTAAAAAACGTCTATATTTTGTGAATACAACAGGTTTCAAAGTTGTATAAACCTTCTGTGTTTTACTGCCGACTTGCAAGCATAATGGGAAAATCCTCCGCCCGAAACCCCCATCCTAAAGTAATATGTCTGTCCAATGCATTGACGCTCAGTACTTTTAATTATTTTTGAAAAAAATGTTGGCGGATAAGGGCGGAAGTCGTACCGAATTTTGTTGAGAACTACGTGTCAAAACACTGCTGATCATATTCATAAAAAGCCCCGCTAAACTACAAAAGCAATCGGGTGTTCGAAAACAGGTGACGTCTCAGGAGTGCGGTGAATGTTAACAGACGAAGCAATGGAGACTGCGCCTTTTATCGAGGATTTATATAATCTGAGACCGGGAGCCACAGTTAGTACTTTGGTTATGGGTAACTATACAGTAGGTCATGGTTTAATGGAAGGCAACAACTGAAATATATCGATATTTGATTTTGTCAGTCACAGTAGGCCTGACAGTGACAGAGATGGCACTTATTTGACAGGCAAGAAAAGGGCCTAGTAGAAATTGCGGTGCATATCGCAGATTATGAATGTAAGCATACTTGATAACTAAAAAAATGGGTTACATACCTCTCGATCAGTTCAAGTTTCCTTCCAGCTGTCGAAGCTTTTCGTTGAAAGAGCGCACATTTGAGTTTTGGCACGGACCATAGCAGGTACTGGCTGGCCATGTTCACATAAACTTGGCTACGGCTCTACTTGAAATTCGCGCTAAATGACACTGCAAACACGAAAACGTCTTTTTTTTTCGTATATGGCCATTGGACGGAAAAACGACTAAAAATTCATTAAAATTGATTAATTGGTCAGCGTCTAGAAAGTGTCCAGAAAAGGGTCGAGTTTTTCAAGAGTAAAATGGACGGAAAAACGATGCTTTTTGCTCCGCCTTGTACAACTGTTAACGGCCAATCAGATGGCGCTGGTCCCCCGACGCACGTGATGTCCAAGGCTTCCTTTCGGAAGCTTTAGGTTTCGTATTTCTGGCATGCCTTGCTCTAGTATCTGTCGCGCGCAGTGCAGCGAGATTTGCTGATAAGCTAGTTTTAGGATATGTTACATGTTAATGGAATTCAGACACGCGCCAAGAAGTCAAACCAAACAATGTTACTAAGTTTATTGCGGTAACGGCTATGTACAGTTACCCCTATCGGATAATGGGTTGTGTTTCATTTGGTTATAACAATAACTAATTTTTTAATGTGAAGTTTACAAGATATACGACTTGGACGCGAGGTCGGTCACATGACGTTCTTCACGTGACTGTATTCTTGAAAATGCGTAAACACTGACTACTTCCACATTCCGGGGGAAAACCCTTGGAATTCCCTGGTACGAATTCATAAAGAAGCGTGGTTGCAAGCCCATTTAAGGATACCCTCGCTACAACCCATCCCAGAGAGAAAAAACACGAAAACAGTGACAATTTACAGAAATCTATGAATTTACCTTAGTATCTATTTGACACATCTTCACGATCACCTTTCAATGATCGGCAAATTGATCAGTGATGCCAAAGGCTTGAAATAGCCACAGGTTAATTAACAACTTCGAAAATATCTCCCGTCACGTTTATCGTGTCGGCCATTTTGACGTATTGTACTTGATGTAAATGTATTACGACACTCTGTCATTGTAATTGACTTACTGTGGTAATTCTGTAAAAGATCTTCTCATATAATGAGGATATTGTTTGGAATATATTTCTTGTAAAGATACTAAAACATATGTTCCTCGCTTTGGGGGGAACTATTTTATTCCGGGGTGGCCCATTAAATCTAATAATCTAAGTCAAGGCACCATGCGTGATCTGTTATTTTATGCGTTTAAATTACGATTTGGGGCGTTAATAAAATACACTGACGCAAGTATATTCTATTCAAATCAATTGGATAATTGAATGTGCTTTCTTTTACATATTACATAACATCACTGCACAAAATATGAACAGTTGCAGTTACACACTACGGTAATCGCATTAAACATCATTTTCAGCTGTACAGTATTTCAGTATTTCAGTTATATCATGGTGTATCAGACTGATGTGGGATAAAAATCCGATGTGGTTCAGGTCATCCAATGGGTGTTCGGGAAAAGGTGAGCGTATCCTGCCACACAAGTGGCACCCGTCACAAACACATGCAAGGACAAGTCAATTGTTCACCTGAACAAAGCACGGAAACACACAATGATGCCCGTCCTCAGTTTTACCGAGCATGTAAATTATTTTGTCCGTCAAAAACATGGACGAGTATAAACAATATGTTCATTCACGTAATACATGTCATACATTTGACAACATGTATTGACTCGGAGCATTATTGTTAATCACAGCGTATGCAGTTGAACTCATCACCCATCCAATTATTGATAACCCTTCTTGAAGATCTATGAAATCAGAAGCTGCAACACTCTATCTTTTAACTGGCATGTAAGACTTCTATTTCATTACTCAGTTTTATTTGCACGGATTACTATGGAATGGACATTGTCTCGTTGTCGCATTGTCGCATTGACGCCTTTACAAAAACAAGCAAAACGTGTCAAAAATAACAAAAGCGCGACAATTGGCCATTTGTCGCATTGTCGCGTGTTCGCATTGTCACTCTTTGATAATTCTTTTCTTTATTTGACAAAAGGGCGACGATGCCGTAACGCGACATTTTCAAGGTCAAAATATGTCTCGTTGTCGCATTGTCGCCCCATCACAAATGTGTATGAAATACGTAAAGTTCAGTTATTGTTACAGTTAGGAAGTTCAACCTGATTAATGTACGTCTTGAAATGAAAAGACAAGTCCGTCCGCGAGTCCATAACGTTTTATTGTGAGCTCTTCTCTAAAGGTGCTTAGTGTTCAACTCCCAGTTCCAAACACGTAGTACCTCCTCAATAATCCACATGCCTCCAGTGCAGTGGTCTTCCGGAAGATCTTACTCTTGACCGTATTAGACAACTGACGAGTGCACGCCTGACCTGTGACCTCGTTGCAACCCTCGTGATGTGTTTGCCGAAGGGAGAGGTGTAGGAAATGTGTGCTCCAGCCCAGCGCAAAGCTCGCGACACACTGTATACTGATGTATACAGTATATTGCAGTTGATATACTGTATAGTTGAAAGTTGTAACATTTCCGCAAATAAGTATTACATGCAGTATACAGTATATTGCAGTTGATATACTGTATACTGCATGTGATACTTATTTGCGGAAATGTTACAACTTTCAAGATTCAAGATTCAAGTTTCAATTTGCATATATTTCATATACAACAGACCGCCGTCATATATCGCTGGAATACTGCTGAGAGCGGCGTTAAAACAAATTGTTTTCATAAGGGAGCGCTGCAGTCATTTAAAATAGAACCGTATACATATGTACATGTAGTACCAACTCACTCTATTTGTTTCGAATATTCAGCAGAAAATATATTATTAACCAGGTCTTTGGGAAAAGATATCAGATTTTTATAAGCAGCCACATAGGGATGATAAAGGACCCCTCGCTGATTAGGTTCTTGTTTACTTAAGAGCAGAGTTGGCCATGTTCGATGATATAACCAAAATCCAGGCGCTCCGGCGGGGGGCAAGCTGGTCTTGTTAGTGTATGGTATGAGCTGTGACGTTGACCCAAGAGAATAATGTAAAACATGAGACCAACTCAAGTCTATAATGATTGGGAAAGTCTAGATTTCCACAGCTCTAGCCTGAAATTAAGAATTGTTCTATGCTCCATTTTAATTGTATTATTTTCATTTTGTAGACATGGATGGACCAACCAGGAAAGAAATTGATGGAATATTAATATCACATGTTACCACTGATCCAGTTAAATTCATCACACAATAATAAATTAGTATTTGACATTACGGCATTTGATTATTAGGGCATGATCATGTACATGTTCACTGTAGTAATGTACACACCAGTCAACTTGATTATAATTTTTATCAAAGTGTAGCGCGGCATGAACGATTACTTTATGATATCCTCACTTGTCATCGATGTATTGACATCGAACAATGGACGGCAATTCGAAATTCTTATGGATAGCTTCAATAGGGACAGCGCCGGTGTCAGTACAATTTTCCTAGTTAAAATAAGTATCTACAAAATATAATCTGAAGCAGACAAGAACAATATTTTTTTATTAATGCTTACTTTCATGGATAGAATTAAGGCAATCTAGGCTTTCCAAATCGTTCTAGATTTGAGCTGGATTCCTTTTAAATTTATTCTGTATGGTCTGGGAGACGAACGGGCGTCAGTATCGCATGGAGAACTGGGACAGCCTTAATCAGTGTAATCGGATATGTTGTGGAGTTTCGGTTTTGGGCTGTTTGCTGAATATATAGAATTGCGAGTTATGTATACTCTGTATTCTTTCGTCATGGTAGCATATATATTTTCTATGTTGCTTTTTGAATTATCCACAAATAATGAGAACTACAATGTAAACCTCTCTCTGGAGATATGCAATAATACTACTGAAGGGCATATCTGAAAAATTGGACTTCTCGACAAATATTTCTTTCTTAAATACTACCCGTTACAGGCATTCTGATCATTATATCATACTTTGTACAGTTTAAAAGTCAAATAATGGCAAATTGTGTATCTTTCTACATTTTGAATTAATTATATTTTCTGAAATAAAACCTTAGCATCAGATAGTGATATACACGAATATGATCTATACTATTATAAATGAATTATCAATTTCGTGTTATGAATTAGATAAACAGAAATATGATTGTAAAACAAATTATTTTAATCTATTCTTGTGAGTAGGTAACGAGAGATCTAGGCAACGCACTAACGTAGCCATTTATGAAAAATGAAATATTAAAAGTTTAGGGGTTTGAACATGCACATTGAATGACAGGGAAGAAAGCAACGCAATAATTAAATTATGAATCAAATTATGTTATAAATATAACAGAATATTTAGAAAATATAAGTTTAATTCCTCATTGTTGGAAGGTGTTTAATAATTATATAGATTTTGTTTGATTGTTTGTTGTTTAACGCCGCACTCAGCAATATACCAGCTATATGACGGTGGTTCGTAAATAATCCAGTCTGGACCAAACAATTTAGTCATTATCATCAAGAGCACCGATCTACGCATTTGGGATACGATGACATGCATCAACCAAGTCAGCGAGCCAAGTCGCCTTCGAAGAAGCATGGGTTGTTGAATGCCTATTCTAACCCGGATCTTCAAGGGTATTTTTTTAAATAATAAGGTACAATGAAATTCTGTATATGTCCATAATAGGTGTGTATAAGTAGATGGATAATATGTCCATACACGCCAAGTAAATGGTGTATGCATTAATTAAAATGCAAATGATTCAATGATGAGTTCTTTCACAAGTCCATATTTCAAGGCATGTATTTGATATTCATAATAACTCCACAAAAGTTACACAATGGCAACAAAACGGTAGCAGCATCACAGATACCAATAATACATGAGATACATATAATTACTTTAAAGTTAAAACATGTATCTAAATAGAAAATTAGAAGGAAACACTTCCGACATTTTTCGTATTTTGTTTTCGTTTGGAGAGAGAAGTTGTGATTGGTATCTGATGGGTGCAAACAGGTGTTCCCTTCCGCCCAGGCCTTGCGGCAATGCTATAGCCCAAAATGAAACAAGCCTTGTTCAACAGGTTCAGACTCAAATTTCTATCCCACTTGGGCTCCTTTTA